GTAGTTATTAGCTACTCAATATTGACTGTCTTCCTTTAAGTATGTGCTCCCACTGCCCCCACCCTCACTGATACAGAAAGAATCTTAAAACTTACCTTGAAACTCAAGCATAGTCAAATAACCTGACGACTGTTGTAACTTTAACCAAGTTTATCTGCTGTGTGGATACAAATTTCTGAATGTGATCATTATTATGAAAGTATTTGATAGTGTCAGTGCATACATGTGAAATATTTCTCAGAAAATGCACAGGTAGAATTTGCTAAAAAAATAAATACAAGATTAGCTACTTTACCTAATAGTTTACTCCCATTCCAATACGCCACCACTACTTACATATTACTTTCTTTGCTATTTACACACAGTAGCATGCTTACAGGATCTCCAGATAGAAAAGAATTTAAAAGACAAGAGAACAAGATCAGAATTCAAAATGTTTCTGTGATTTGAAAGGACTGCCCAAACTCCAGAAGCAATTTCAATTAAATAAAAGGAATAGTGCAACATATCCTTCAGGGTACCACATATTAATAGGCACAAAAACTCCAGCAGAGAAATACAAAAGTTCCAGAAAACATTCAGAATGTTAAATACAAGAACAAATTTCAAAAGGAAAGCAAGACTTTTAAGTTACAGGAAGCTATAAACTAAATGAGCTAACATGGTGTCACTTCAGGAAAGAAAAAAAAAAAAAAAAGGAAACTTTATATTTGGAAATACTAATAGAAGCACATTATGTTTGAGATTAAGAGACCTTTTCTTCCACTTCAGTCTGCTCTCAAAACTACATGAGGAAAAAAATGAAGAGCAGACAAACTGGGAAAAGGAGAAAAAAAAAAATTTACAAGGCATCTAGAAAATACACCCATGAAGACTGAGCCATTTGGTTTATTTATCCTGGGGACAGGGGGGAAGTAAGGTTGGATTAATATGTAAGTTTAAAGGGGGGATGGGGTAAGTCATGGAAGCGGTTATTAAAAAAAAATGCTGTTTAGCTGGTCTCAATGGTTAGTGTATTTCCTCTGCTGTAAATATCTTGTCTTAGGTACATTATAGGGATGACTTTGCCATTTTCTTCTTCCTTCACCTTCAAATGACAATAAGCAGGCCAATGGCTCTTGCCCCACTGCAGTCATTTTTGTAGATGGTTGAGGTCCTGACAAAGCCAAGTAACTGTCATATGTCTGAGTGTAACGTTTGGCAATTAACGTGCGTGTCATTGTAGTACATGTTTGTAGGCAAGCAGCACCAGAACACTACAATCTGCTTCTGGCTGTACACTGCTATGTTTCACTAAAATGGCAACACTTTATCATACCATGCAAAAGCTTGGGGTTCTGCAAATATGTACGTTATATATATAATATATGTGTGTGTGTGTGTGTCTTATGCAGAGAACGTATACATTTTCAGCCTGGAGAAGAGGAGGCTCCGGGGAAACCTTACAGTACCTGAGATGGGCCTACAGGAAAGCAGGGGAGGGACTATTCACAAGGGTTTGCAGTGACAGGACGATGGAGAATGGCTTTAAGCTGGAGAAGGGCAGAGATCTAGGTTAGCCATTAGGAAAAAGTTCTTCAATATAAGGGTGACAGATCACCGGAATAGGTTGCCCAGACAGGTGGTAGAGGCCCCATCCCTGGAGACATTCATGATCAGGCTGGATGAGGCTCTGAGTAGCTTGATCTAGTTGGAGATGTCCCTGCTTACGGTGGGGGGGTTGGACTAGATGACCTTTACAGGTCCATTCCAACCCAAATATTCTATGATTCTATATACACATCCTTCCAATATATATACACCCACAAACACACAGAGTATTCTCTGTTTGTTAAAACTTCCAGTAAGTCAACTCAAATTCAAATTTTTTTTTTTTTTTATATAATAGTCAATGAATGGCAGTAGCACAGACTCTTTGAGGGTATGATTTAGGATCAGGACAGAATGGTATTTATGCTAGGCCAGTGAGTGACTAATTTACAGTGAAGGGTTTTTTTTTTCATGTTTACTGTCAGCTATGAGTTTTTCATGCTATTTGGATGAGTCATAGAAATATGAGTAACACATCAACATGCCTTGGAAACAGTAGCTCAAAACTACAAAACCACAGGAGGTCAACAGCATACACGAGTGCACACTGAGACCATTCAAATTTATATTTAACAGAATAGTCACAGCAATTACTAAGTAAAAGTATGATATTATGCTGTTTGTCCAAAATGTAATTATTATTCAGTAATTCTGGAAATACAGTTTGAACCTTCACTGGTAATATCTGAAGACACTACTTAGTACATCCTAGTCTCAAAAGAAGCCTCTGCTGAAATTGCAGATTCTGGATTTAGACCCATTAGCTCTCCAGTCAAATGGCTCCCAGAGGATGTCATTGTTCCTATCTGCATACTTCACCATGAGATTTCAAGTTTTGCCCATAGTGGTTTAGGTACATGGATGAACATTACAGTCAATACTACATACAAAGACATTTGGGCTTTGCAAAGGACAGCTGAGACTCTAAATACAGACTATGAATTAGAGATGGAATCCGTGAAAGTTTCTACAGCTTCCAAATCAATGCATCAATATCACACTGAAATACAGCAGCATGGTCAAAAGCTAACATATATACAGCAAAATAGTAGACCCTCATTAAATAATGACAGAATTAGCTTTGAGCAGATTGAAAATATAGCTCAATTGCTAAATTCAATCTAAACCAAATTAAGTTTCATTTTGTTTTTAAAGAAGCACCTTTCTGAATGAATGAAAAAATAGACCTGTGGATTTTTTTGCCTGCTCATTATCTAAGTATGCTTTTATTTTTAAATAGGTATAAAGGATCTCTCAGAAGCTAACAGTGGCATAAACCTTCTATAATAATGGATTCTCAATAAACACTTCAAATCCAAAAGGTAGTTTCCACTAGCTAAAGCAATTGTGCTGTCCTTCTGGTTTTCAGTCATTTATCACTTACTTCTCATGGGGGCGGGGAAAACCCCAAGGAAGTAACAATGATGTTTTGATATTAATCAGCAGAAGCTGGGAAACTTCAATGTGCTTGCCTTATGTAGCTGGCCATATAATGAAAGATGGGTAATCCTAGTCAGCTCAGTGAAGCCAAAGGCACATACCAAGCTTGTGAACTGCTCTGATGACTGAAACTGTCACTGAGAGTTTACTAGAAGTCAAGTCTTCAAACTATTTTCAAGTCAAAATTCAGGTTAACTTAAATAGTGACACAAGGGGTTTGAAAGCAGCAAGATCACTTTTGTCTCATGGAGATTAGGCTGTACTTCATAAATGTCTTTGAGCACAAAACTGCAGCTTCACTTATTAGGTGATGAGTAGCTGACGAGAAGAAAAATTTCTAATGTCTACAATTCAGGACTAAACACATCCTTCCACAGCCTCAGTGTCACCAGCATGGGAATGGTAATTTCCTGGAGCAGACAACTTACAGCGCCTGTTGGGCAAGAACAACACATGTTCTGCAGCCAAAAAGCCAAGAATACTAACATTGAGTTTTTTTACTAAGAAGCAGTACCAGCTAAAAGCTGATGAATGAAATCCAAGTTTTTGTAAAATATTATGTATACAGCCTACTTTGCGCAGTAAGTATGGATGCTGTGGGGACCTGAACATCTCTAAACACTTCTCTTGAAGGGAAAGGTAAACGAAAAGGGAGTTAAATCTTAGGCATGCAAGCTTCATACAGAATACCTGCCTTATGGTATCATTCTTTAGATAAACATCAGCATTGCGTGCTGATCACCATTCTAATAAATTTTACTTAGAAGTATTTAACTTCTGCAAAATCGAGAAGTTTTGGAGTCTTCCTCGAGTCCAGTTCAGCACTAATTTAAAAAAAATAAAATAAATAATTTAAGGGCTGATTACTTTCTTTCTTAAATAAGCGGAGGTAGGGGGAACAAATTCCACCTTAAAAAATCTAGTCATCTTTCAAGGAAAGAAACCTGCACCTAACATACCTCAAGTATCTTGAAACGAATACAAACTTCAATGTCTACCATGATCTCTGTAAGCAAAATCCATATCAAGTTACATTACTTGTGGCCACACAAATACAAATATTTTGCTTCTGCTAAACAGAAGAGTGCAACAGTATTTCTTCCAAATCCCAGATTTGCCCAGTCTTTAAAGGAAAAACCTGAGAGTGGGGAGCAACTGCTTAGACTGGTGCTGACATTTTAAGTACAATAATATTCGTAGCAGGAGAGTTAAATTTTACATTTTAGATTTTCTGTATTATTTTATCAGAAATACACTAAAAAAGAATTTCAAAGGTCCTTTTCCTGTCCATTGGACAAATACCCTACATAACTAGTGGCCTTTAAAAAAAATGAGCCGTAAAATATAAGAATTTATCACATTAATCTTCTATACAGTTCAAGACAGGACACAAATATCCTCAGCTCTCAGCACATCTGTCTTCACAGGGGCAACTGAGACTGTATCAATTCATGGTAGAAGACCAGACTGCAAAAAGGAAATAAAACCAACTCCTCCAAGCTCCAGGCTTTCACTCTTAACCACTGGAATGAAAAAACACAGAACTGTTCCAACCACAAGGCAGACTATACAATACAATTTGCAACTTTTATTCTATTTCCATAGCTGCATTTACAGTTCAAACAAAACCAGGAAGTTTTCAAAATCAAATGTACAAGTTATATATTTATGAAGAGTATTTCCAGTGGGATGACTGTAAGAACAAGTGCCCAATATTAAATGGAGTAGGATGATTCTCTTATACAGGGACACTCTGATTCAGGATAAAAAACATGTTATGAACTACAGTTTCTGTTCTCAGAAGTAGTATTTAATTTTAGCAAGTTGCTTTTCACAAATTCATAGCTTCTTCCCAGTCTTACATCGAATTTATGAAAACCTTCCTTGTGTTTTTGCAAGTATTTTCCATTTTTAACACCAGGTTAAGTCTAAAGGACAAATTCTTCAAATATTCAATTATGGAATTATTCAATTTTCCACAACTGTATTCTAAAAACAATTTTTGGTTCATCCTGTAGTTATCGTACACATATTTCTGAATTTACCACATTTAGGAAGTGGTAAACTCCATCTCATTTTCAGTAGTAACAACACTGCTCTAAGATCCAGAGTTTCAAATACTGACTTTTCACTAGAAATCATGCATCTGCAAACCTAATCCAGGTCTCTAATTTTAAGGCAACCAGAGAATTTGGAAGCACTCACATTGAAAATTTTCCAGATTAGCACAAGAAACAAACACAGCTAAGCATCAGTCTTTTCTAGCAGACAAAAGGGCTTTCTTGCAAGTCTGCAATCTGAGTAGAAGCAGCAGCATTTTTTCTATGGTAGATGTCTTGACAGAATTACAGACAATAAGGCAATGACCCAAAATTTCAGTATGGGTGAGTTCAGCTCCTCAGTGAATGTTATGCACCTACACGTACTTTGAACCAACTCAGAAAACTGAGAATTTACATATTTGTTACTAATGCACTAGAAGGTAAATTTATTCGTTACTGGGGTTTTGTTCTCAGTACTCACCCCCTTGCTGACTGAATCTCACACACCAATGCTGAAGTGCTGTTCAATCTTACAAGGGGTGCTTTCAACAGCCAAGAGGCATGCCTACCTCAAATATTATCACCCACATTTGTCCTTCTCGTATTGTCACTCAAACGTGCTTTTGAGCATTTGTTCTTTCACTTGAGATTGTCTCAAAACTGCCAAGTAGCCCCCTTGTTATCTTACTCAATGATTCGTCCACCTACAGTAATTTAAACCTTATTTTACCTATAAAATTCTCCACTACTACCTTGCTTCTTGGCTGCTGCTCATTGCAGGTTCATTCTCTGTCACAGAAACTTGAATTTCATCTTCAGACATGCTGCCTTATCTATGGCACTTGATCAGAAAGGTGTACAACTCACCAGCTCCTTCCGAGTATTCAGGTAAGACTCACACTGAAGGTCATTGAATGCAATGTGCAGTCCTGCCTTAACAATGGGAATGCTGGTCCAACCACAACCATCTGGTATGCTACAACAAACACCCCTTTCCTAAATCCCTGCTCACCTTCCATCAGTCATCTTCCGGTTGCCCCCCACCCCCTGCCTCCTCCTGGGTACCCCAAACAGGGTACTTACTTTCCTTCTAAAGGCCTTTCATGGCCTCTTTCTTCAGCCTACACTCTCATTCTGCATCAAGTTTTTCACTCCTGCCTCCTATCAGCTCGCAATGATAGCTTCCAACATCTGTCATACTTTAAGGCAACTATCCATCATACTCCCCTGACCTGGAAGCATGGATTTGGAAAAAGCACCTCAAAAATTAGCAGTACAGACCATTTCTAGAAACTGCCCCTTTGAAAATTTAGAATTCTTTTTCACTGTGAAAATTGCACTGAAAGTTGATGGTTGCTCTTGTATAAGCGTCCACATCACGGCGGATAATAATTACTGATGCAGTTCTCTGCTTCACCATACCTTGTCAGTTTACATCCAGTCTGGCATTTCACATTTCTGATGGAATTTTGTGGAGCACAAACCAACCTTCAGCTATTTGTGCAACTTAATTCATTAATTTGGAGGTAGTTCAGGCTTATAAGCAATAAAATACTACAAAAATTCAGCTAGTAGTACATGGAGACAAATTTCAGCATAATCCTGTATTTACATATCTGCTTGTCCTTATTTGCCACTTTCCTCTCCTGTACTATGTAGACTTCAAGTACTGTTCCATGATATGAAGCTATTTAATTAATCTCCCAGACAACAACTCATATAGATACAAAACTATTTTGCCTGTGTAATTTTTGCCTTGTTCTATGACACCACTTGAGTTCTTACCTTAGTAAAATTATTCAAGTGACCTAGTTTTCTCATATTTGAAACGCCTTGTAATTTGGCCACATTTTGGAGAATCTCTCTCATATTATCACAGGGTTCTGCAAAAGAAAACAGGTTATTAGCAGACATAGTTTAAAAAAGTAGTATCAAAATATCTAAACGTGCAGTTTCCTAAGTGCAACGGGTACTCTCCTGGTCTTAATTACGGATGCAGATCATTTTTGCCTCAGGAAGAATCAATTTCATTTACGCTTAGAACCTAAATCAGGTATATTCAAGTTCTCTAGAATAACTGCTGAAGTCCATACAGAAGAGAGATTCCTTTTTTAAAAGTGGATTTTAACCAGTATCTTAGCTTTACAATTGACAAATCCATTTACTGTCTGAAATTCAATCCTACCATTCTGTAACTGAACAGCTTTATACTTAATCCCTGTGTAATTTAAAGAGAAGCAGTAAACTGAAAGACAGAAGTAAAAAGATAGCATGTCACTGCCATACCATGATGTCTTTTTTGCCCTTCAGAAAAAAGGTTGCTGGGATTTTGGGAAGATGGGACTATTTTCTACTGTCCGTATTTATTTCTGCCCACTTTTGCAACACACAAAGTGAGAACTGCAACATAAACAAGGGGCCCAGGAACAACATCTCAGTTCTTCCCATGAGTCCAGCATCTCAACAACAACAACCACCCAAACCCACAAACCATGCTTCAGACACCAACTGATGACCCTGCATCCTGCCGGGAAATGGAAAAGGACTGCCAGACACAGTGAGCAGAGACAATATTGACCTGCCTTCGGGAATAAGGCTGGGAGCTGAGGCAGAGGGTGACACGCGGCACAATGTGGGGCTGGGCACAGAGCTACTGTAACAGAAACCACAGTAAGCTCTGTACATGCTGGTACTGCAGCAGGCCGCTTTTCAAAGGGAGATGCTCGACTGCAGAATTCTTGTGCAGTCCTGGGTTAGACTCTGTGCTACAACAACACTATCCACAGTGCTGTAGTTGGAAATAAATGAACTGCTAAGTTTATGCCAGATTTGGGAAGGGTCAGAAAGTAGTACATCACCAAAAAAAGAAACAAAATGCATTGCATAAAATGAAGTCTTTAGAAAAAAACCCTAAAGAATCCAAATACCAGACATCTGGATAGTAGCAAAGAGAAGGGTGTTGTGTGACATCTCCCACTAAAGTCAGTAAAAGAAAGCTGCTTCCTACCACAGTATGACATGCTACAGCTGGATTTATGGCATATAGATAAAGTCTCTTACTCTCCTGTTCATTTTGAAGGGATACTGTATGTTTTCCATTATACAAAGAAAATCAAAAGTGTCACATATGTAAAGACTTTTTCACTACCTCTTTACTGACCAAGCTAAGTTTATCACTTTCTGCCATTTAAAAACTTAAGAAGGCAACAAATTTGAAAAAGCAGACATAACTAGCTATCTCATCAGGATATATCCAGAAGGTATTTGGAAAAGTCAAGATCCTGTACTTAGACTACGATCAGAAATACAAGACAGCATTTAAAGATTAAGACATCTCAGGCAGGCACCCAAATTAAGATGTGTGAATTTGTAAACCCACTGCGGTGAATTGAGATCTCATCTCTCAGCCAATAAAGTCAAACACAATTAATCTGAAAGATGCCTATTCAAGGGTATGGTAAAACAATTGTGTTGATTACAGTGCTTATAATGAACCTTCAGCACATGTACAGATACACTACTGACGCACCACGGAACTGTGATTTTTTTTCAGACAAAGAAGCACTGAGATTTTGGGAATATAGACAGGCTCCTGAATGTGAGCAAAAATCTCAACTATCACGAGCTTGATGTGAAAAATGCTTTTCCACAAACCTAAGCAACAGCAATAAGCAAAGTCAACTGTCAGATACAGAGCCACAAGTAGAGAGATTGCTTGTGTTACAGGACAGTATGTGCAGCGAAGCCAAACATCCATTAACTCTGAATTTAAACTGGAACATGTGTGTGCATCTCTGAGTTCCCTGCAACCCAGTAAAAAACAAACAAAACAAAACAAAACTCTGATAAATCACAGAAGCTAGAAACAGTGAAAATCTTAATAGATTCATCCCAAGTTTAGAATTCTTCTGTACAGTTTATTTTTCCAGGGCTTAACTTAATTTGAGAGGTTTGCAAGAGCACAAACCATAGAAACAAAAGAACAAAAGAACAAGAGAAACACTGAAGACAAGTTATGACAGTTATGGCACTACAAATAGCTTACACCATAGCTCCTAATTTCAAGGCAACATAATAGGAGAGGAAAATAATTTACTCATAATTCAGTTTCTCTGAAAATACAGTTTGGCTGATTTCTATGCTTTGGCCTGCCATGTTTAACAGGTGAGAATCTCCCTAGATCACACCACTTTGGGACCTGTAACACACTCCATTACACCACAATAAAGATCTCAGGAGAGCAGCCTTAGGCCTCTCCAGAATGTTTTACTCCAATTCCCTACAGAACAAGCAGCAACTTTCCAAAAAGACTAGAAACACTCTTGTAAGTTTTGATTTTGCAAGTTGCAGATTGCTATACACTTCAGGCAAACCTCTACATAAAATAACTCATATGGACAGGAAAGACCACGAGATTAGCCCAGGAAATCACCTGTACGCCACTGGCAATGAAAACGTCTACACAGCTGCCTCATAGAGTGGGCACTATCTCAGAAGTGAGCAAGGTATGCTCTATAGAAAGGCAATCTGTTTTGATGTAAAGAAACCAGAACAGGATGATGTTACCACTTCCCACATTAACAATTATGTAGCCGTGACTGACCTTTGTAACAATGCTGCTCAATTAAAATGCACACTAAAACCATTTTACTTCAGGTGTGTGTGAAAAACTGCAGTTATAGCAATATTTTCCCATGTTGTCGTTGTCCTGGTGAGAAAAACTCTAACTTCAAGAGAGACAGAAAAGTTTGAAGAAAATCATCTTTGTAGTGCTTGGCAGAGCAGCCCAGTATTTCTCAGAAGCTTCATAAGCAGGTAAGTAATTTGAATGAAAGTGGGGACTTCAGTATAAGATCTACAGCCCTGTAAGAAAACTGAGAACATGACGGATATTTTCAGTATTGAATTAATAATATGAATACAGCAAACTAGCTGGCTCACACTGATTATATCAACAACACTACTGCTGTAGAAAAAACAAGACCGTAAATAAATCTCCTCTACTAGCATAATACCTCAAGAAGACCTAAGATTACAGAAGCCTCTTTAGTGAAGCCTTGTCATTTCAAGTCTCATTTTAAACTTCAGAAGAACCTTCTTGCAAAAAAAAAAAATCTTCAAAAAAAAAGTTAACAAAGAATTGTGAAATATTAACCTGAAGGTAAGACTTGTTATCCTGTTTTTCCTCTTCTGGAATTGCATCATATATTAGAAAGAAGTAGAAAACTTCCAAATTGGGAAGGTAGGCAGACCTAAGAGAATTTCACATGTGGCAGATATAAAGGAATTGAAACAAAATAATGTTGATTTAACAAATGGAGATAGAGACTTTTGCTAATCTGTCCCTTTCACTAAAATAGGCTTGAAAATGGACTAAATACATTCTGGATTATGTCAACTAAGCCACGTGGCTTTACCATAATCAAAGATCAGATACAGCACTGCATATCTTCCCATCACAAAATTTCATGCAACAGAACTGAAAAAATATGGATTAATGCAGAAATTGAAAAATCATGGCAAAATCATATACTCATCTCCCAAAAGAAGAAATATCACCACCCTAACATTTCATTGTCAAGCTTTACAGCTCATGTTGGTGTTAACAACGACTTCCTGGGGGTTTTTTGGGGTTTTGGGGTTTGTTTTGCTTTGTTTTTAAGGACCCCAGTTCAGACCACTGCTGCACAGATTTCTTAGCTCTGATTAACCCTTACTCTTTAGCTCTTC